TTAAAGCCAGGAGGAGATGTAAGGAGCTAATAGGTTAAGGGATCCACAGTTCCCAGATGGCAGGAGATCGGGTTTCAATCAGCCTGTTTGCGCTTCTTGCATTTAAAAATGGTTGCATGGTCATTATCTAGTACTTTCATTCCTACAAAGCTCCTGCTCTGTTACTTTACTAATCTGTTTATAGAATCAGAGCAGGAAAGGCTAAAATCAATCTGCTGGTTATTATTTTTTAATAGAAAGAAATGGAATGACTTCTCCAAGGTCACACAGCCGGTTTGTAGAATTATTAACCCTAGGTTTTGTCTCTGAGCTCTGTGTCCAGGGTTCTGTATCTTTGCTATAACCTGGGAAAGAAGGCATCCTATTTTAGAAGTGGAGCATAAACAGGACTCAGAGGAGGGAAAGGGGGGTGCTATTATTATTTATGCCTGGACAATAAAGCTTTTGCTCAGAGAAATTCCAGTTGGAAAGCCAACTCTGGCCTAGAAATCTAGACTCTTTGGTTGTACCTGTTGAGCTGTCCTTCACTCTAACCTGCCAACTCCCTTTCTGCCTCTTCCCACAGAGCAGACAGAATTTGTTTCCTGCCTCCCAGACAGATGGAATGGGTCTGGCTCTAGAAGTCTCTCAGATTCTGGAGGAATCTCAGTCTTGTTACCTGGTGACTTCAGACACTGGCAACTGAAGAGCTGAACGCCCAATCCCCAGTCTGACCCATTTCTCAAGGGTTCTGAACCCCTTTTGCTCTCTTTTCTCCTCAGCATCTTTCCAGATGCTTCCAAGGCATGGGTCTACATTCAGTACATTGGGTGTGTTTTTCCCTTGTTTAGTTGAGAAATTCAACAGGTACTACTTGAATAAGTCTTGGAGCCAGATGTTCTGACCGACACCTAACACCCTGAGGTCAGGCCAAGGTTCATCTGTATGATTACGAACAAAGGGAAAGTGATAAACAGAAAAAGGCCTGCTAGACAAGTTGTTGTTTTTATAAATTTATTTATTTATTTATTTATTTTCGGCTGCCTTGGGTCTTCATTGCTGTGCCCGGGCTTTCTCTAGTTGCTGCGAACAGGGGCTACTCTTTGTTGTGGTGCATGGGCTTCTCACTGAGGTGGCTTCTCTTGTTGCGGAGCACGGGCTCTAGGCACGCGGGCTTCAGTAGTTGTGGCTCGCAGGCTCTAGAGCGCAGGCTCAGTAGTTGTGGCTCACGGGCTTAGTTGCTCCACGGCATGTGGGGTCTTCCCGGACCAGGTCTCGAACCTGCGTCCCCTGCATTGGCAGACGGATTCTTAACCACTGCGCCACCAGGGAAGTCCTGTTGTTGTTTTTAAGGCAGGAAACAGATTCTCCAGCTAGTTCAACTATGATATATATTTTTTAACATGTCTTTCATCACATCATTGGTTTGGGTTTTGTTTTCATACAGAGTAGAGCATCATGCTGTGCAGTGGTCAGATTATAAAGTTAAGGCATAAAGACAAAATGTAACGTTAGGAGTTCCCTGGCAGTCCAGTGGTTAGGACTCCGCACTTCCACTGCAGGAGCCCCGGGTTCAATCTCTGGTCGGGGAACTAATCCCACAAGCCACATGGCATGGCCAAGAAGGAAAAACAAAAGTAATGTAGTCATTTTACCCTTGAAATTACTCAGAAGGTTAGGCACACAATACTACATGTGTGTGACCGTGTCCCATATTCAGGAGAAGTCAGTTTGTGTTGTGCTGGTGATTGATGCCCCGTATCTCATTCAAAAATGAAGTCACTTCAGTATGCTTCTGCTTAAGACATTTGAGCAGGTTTCAGGCAATTCCGATTTGTAGATCCTCACTTCAGTCATCTTCTGTCTTCCATAGGTGATCTTATCAGCTCCTCTAACCCTTGAGTATTTCTCTGCAGTCCTTGGTTAATTCTCTGGTTTCTTTCTGGCCTGTGTGGAGGGAGCCATCGTGATCCATTTGCTCGTCCACCTGCATTTCTCTCTTCTGGTCAGCCAACGTGCTTTCTCGGTAAACAAAATCTTAGTTTAGGTTTTGCTGACAGTATTTTTTGTTGTTGTTTTTGGCTGCACCACGCAGCTTGTGGCATCTCAGTTCCCCAACCAGGGTTTGAACCCGGGCCACAGCAGTGAAAGCCCAGAATCCTAACCACTAGGACACCAGGGAACTCCCTTGCCGACAGTATTGAACGCCGAGAGCCCACGGCATACACCCCGGCCTGGTCTATTAAAATCTCCTTTTTGTCTCCCCCTGCAGCACATTAGTTAATGCACACATGTGTGACTCCCCTGGTGATGGGAAAAAAGGCCAGAAGGAAAGATATCAAATGATAAAGCTATGTTAGGAAGGTGAGAACAGAGCTAGCTTGTTTTCTTTTCATCCAAAAACGTTATTTCTGGTTGTGCCACTACTTGTAATAAAAATAAATTAGTAAACTTAACTCCTCCCTGCAAATAATAAGAGACTGGAGTTTGACTGAACCCCAGTGAGCCCAATGGCCACCACCTCCTACAGATCTGTGAGTAGAAGGCCTGGGTGTCAGTTGCAGAAGGACAGGAGGCCAGTGTATCGAGAAAGGGCACGGAGCCCTGGTGACAAACCTCCATAGTCATGGCCGGGCATTGCTGTGCTTCCAAAGTTGGGTGCTCTTGTGGGACACTAGACCAAGGAACAGGGCAGCTTCTAAGACAGTTTGCTTCCTGCGAAAATCACAGCTTGTGAAACTTCCCCCGGCTGCTGGAGCCATAGGTTGTGTAATTGCAAAGAACCTAAAATAAGTTTCAGGTCTCCTGCCAAATTTCCATGTAGTAGCCTGACCTTGCCCCTGATACACTTGGACCTCCTGCAAGAGGCCGCAGTCACTGGGAATTTCCTGCGATGGACGGGCAGGGTCTCATTGAGCACTTGCCCTTTTATCTTGCCGGAACATACCCAGGAATGTGAGTCCCCGACTGGATGGGATGCAAGAAAATTGGGGTTCAGAGGATGGCCGTATGATGCCATATTTGTTGACTGAGTCGCTGTTGCCCTAATGTCTGAGAGCAGGCATGACTTGGTGCTGGATCTGGAGGACCTGGGGACTGGCTGGCTCCCCCAGCGACCTTATCTTCCCCTCCTGCCGGCTGGCTGTCCTACTGGATTGCAGTCTGCTGCCCTGCCCCAGTTGTCGAGGGATCTACTCAGTTCAGTGGCACTGGTCCCTGTGTGTGAAAGAGGATGCTGCTTCCTATCCTGGCACCCAGTGGGCAGGGCCCTCAAATGGCCCAACTCCCTGCTGTTCCCTCCTCAGCACGCCTCCACGCCTCTGTCACGTGGCTCTTAATTCAACCTCTGCCATACGGTTCACCCTCAGGCTCTGAGAGGCCCAAGTTTCCCCGGAGGTGCCGAGTCAAGGTCGCCTGGCAAAGCTAGGCCCACAGGAGAAAGTTCCCCACCGGAAATAGAGCTTCGCGCCTGCCCCAGTGATCGGGACCGCAGTGCCTGGCACTTAGTGCCCAGCGGGTGTCAGGTGCCCTTGAGAATAAAAGCCTATCGATATATTAAGGACCTATCCAAAACTAACACGAGAAGGCCCTTTCCCAGCCTTCTTGCTGGCAGGCTGTCTCAGTTCTTAACACCCTGTGTCCTTGCAGACCTGGAATGGAAGGTCATTTACGTTGGCTCAGCCGAGAGTGAGGAGCTTGATCAAATCTTAGACTCGGTGCTGGTGGGCCCTGTCCCAGCAGGGAGACACACGTTCATCTTTCAGGTAAGAAAGACTAGGCCTTAGGCCTTGACACCTAGAGATATCCTCTTCTACCCAAAAGCACACAGAATGGCTCATTGGTCAGAGTTCAGGTTCAAATCCTAGCTCTGCTCTCAAGCACTGTCTGACCTCTCTCAAAGGTACTTCAGACCCCTCCCGCTCCTCCACCGCTGTGTCATAACTGTTACCATGAGCCACTGACTTACGGTGGATTCTCATGACTCACGGGAGTTATGTCCTGTAAAGTTGCTGCAGACACCGAATTAGTGAATTAGTGAATACTAGATCATTGCCCCTAGAGGAAATACAGCGTTATTTTCCTGCGAGTCACATTTTTATCAACCAGTCAATACACAATCTTGTTTTATGTTTTTCTGTTTAAAGACAACTTACTTTGTATTGTTGATTTATTCACATTGGCCGCATGGCCCACATCACTATAACTCATGGCTGAACAAAGCTTATCTAACACGTTTTCTCTATGAAGTACATCCCTTCTTGCTTTTAGAAACAGGGCAGCACTCAGCACTACGCTTTGGGGCCCTTTTAAACAGCAAAATTACCAACAAAAATGCAGAAACCGTGGCCCTGAGACCGCACAAAAGGCACGTGTTTACAGTCTGAGACTGCCTGGTTCTACCCACCCCTGCTCTGTGCATGTCCTTAAATGACCGTGAAAGGCCCTGAATATTGATTTGGGGGTTACAAATACATTGTAGCAAGTAGTCGAATTGGCAAATACGGAATGCATGAATAATGAGGATCCACTGTAGCTGCTAAGTAGCTCTCTAATCCAGCATCACAGGGGTTGTTTTCAGAAATGCAGGTATCATGTGATTCTTAGGCACACTAAAGTTTGAGAGCCTCTGCTCAAATCCATTCACTTACCTGATCTTGGCTATTCCCGCCCCATCACCTAAGCCCTCACCCACCCATATCCAATCCACCTAACCTACCCCACAGCCAGGACCGGCTTCCTAGGCATGCGACCCATGCAGTCACACTGGGCCCCACTCTTGGTATGATGTTCTGCTGTCACTGGCTGAAACTTACTAATTTTTGAAGTTTGCATTTGTTTGTTTGTTGCTTTTTTTTTTTTTTGCCTGTGTTGGGTCTTCGTTACTGCGTGCAGGCTTTCTCTAGTTGTGGCGAGCGGGGGCTACTCTTCGTTGCAGCGCACGGGCTTCTCATTGCGGTGGCTTCTCTTGTTGCGGAGCACGGGCTCAGTAGTTGTGGCGCATGGGCTTAGTTGCTCCGCAGCACGTGGGGTCTTCCCGGACCAGGGCTCAAACCCGTGTCCCCGGCATTGGCAGGCGGATTCTTAACCACCAGGGAAGTCCCTTGTGTTTTCATTTGTGTTCGTCTCATTTTGCACCAGTCATATAGCCGATCCTGTCCTTAACAACACACCCCACATCTGTCCACTCTCTCTCCTTCTCTACTGCCTGATCTAAGCCACTGTGCTCTCTCCAGGATGACCTCTGTAGCCTCCTGCCTAGTCTCCCTGCTCCCACTTAGCCCTCTTCCTATCGCAGCTCCACTGGCCTCCAGGGTCGTCTTTTCAGCTGGCAGGAGTGATGCCACACTTATCTCCTGCTAAACATTCTCGATCTTTCCCAAGCCCTTAACTGACTGGTACCTAGCTGCTCACCTCTTCAGCCTCATTTTATGCCGCTCTCCCCCTTGCTTGCTACACTCCTCCTCATCACCATATACTTCTCCTCGATGGCACCTGTCACGTTCGGCACTTTACAGGCATTTGTGTGATTGACTCTGTCTCCACCACTGGATTGAAAACCCCTGAGGGCAGAGACCCATACTTTTGGCTCAGTAAATATACGTTGCTTGAGAATCGTATTACCGGTCAAGGTGTGACGGGCAATCAGTGCTAAGGCCCAGCCTGTGTTTCCCCTAGGCCGATGCCCCCAACCCATCCCTCATCCCTGAGACTGACGCCGTGGGTGTGACTGTGGTCCTCATCACCTGCACCTACCACGGACAGGAGTTCATCCGAGTGGGCTACTACGTCAACAATGAGTACCCTAACCCTGAGCTGCGGGAGAACCCGCCCCTAAAGCCAGACTTCTCTCAGGTGGGTCCTTTCTCCACGCTTCCCGCTTCAGACAGGCTGGCTCCTCGGCACCTGGGGGTAGTTGAGTCGTTGGAATTGGGAGCCAAGGTCACTTCTTAAGGTTTTCACATAGTGCTCAGCTCTCGGAGCGCCGGGCTAGAACAGGAAAGAGAAAGGTCTTTGTTTCTCAGAATTTTGCCTCGCAGAATCAAGATTAGATAGGCCCCGGCCCTAAATCATGGTGCACAGGCATTCCCTGGAGTTCTACACATATTGTTGGTGGGGATGGAATAAACAAGGTCTGCTCTTCCTGGGCTTGGGGCGGGATCTCAGAGCGCCCTGCTGTATGGGAGTAACGCGAGGGCATGCTAACGAGGGTTCACGTTCCTTTTCCTGCCCCAGCTCCAGCGGAACATCTTGACCTCAAACCCCCGGGTGACCCGCTTCCACATCAACTGGGACAACACCACAGACAGGCTGGAGGCCATAGAGAACCACGACCCAGCCCTGGGCTGTGGCTTCCCCCTCAGCTGCACTCCCATCAAGGGCTTAGGTCTCCCTGGCTGCATCCCTGGGCTCCTCCCTGAGAACTCCATGGACTGCATCTAACTGTGGGACTCTAGGCCCTACCTGGGCCCAGTTGGGACTGCGGGCCAGTCTCCTGGCACATCTGGAGGGGGCAGCCGGGCCTACCAGAGAGTCTCAGGGAGGCCACGTGGAGGACTTTGGGGCCATCAACTATATCCAGGCCAGTCAAACTTGGCACCAAGGAAGGAAGGGGCTTCAGGTCTCTCTCTCCCAGCCCCGGCCCAGAGGATCATCTCACCTCTACTGCCCAGGCCTGAAAGAAGCAGGTACTTCAGTTCTTAATTTTTTCTCTCTCGTGTCCTTTCTCGCTTCCACACACATTAGAAACTCCACCTGCGGGCCACTGTGCCACTGCACTCCAATAGTACCGTTGACCCAAAGCTCTTCCCACAGACCTCCCTGGCTTGCCTTGAGGATTTCTTGGTCTATGCCTGGCAAGGCTTCAGCCTTGTTGGGCCAAAGGCTCTGTCATTCATTTTCCTTCCCAAACATCTGAGCAGACCCACCCAGCTTTCTGGAGTCACAGGCCAGGAGCCTTGGTAGAAGGTGGACTCGGACACAATTTCTGTCCTTCTCCTAGGATGATTTTTAGGTCTTTTCAATCCAGTAGCCCTCTGGAAAACTCTGTTCCCAGAAGGGTGATCAGCAGGATGCTGAGAAGAGATGGTTGATGCTCCCCTCAGTCGCAGCCACCTTCCTGCTGCCTCCCAGCTGGATCTGGCTTTCCCTGGAGGCTGCCCTTGTGGGAAGATGGTATGTTGGAGGGGCCTTTTGTGCTCTGTCTCAGTATCGGTATCAGGGCCCCTCTGCTTCTGGCTGCCTTGATCTGCCCTCTCCTAAGACCTCATGCTCTCAGAGGCCGCAGTGCAGACAAGAGAAGCAGGAGGGAGCCTGAAAACCTTCCCCCCTCCACCACGCTCCCCACCCTTGCCCGCATCCCCTCGCTGCTACATGGATGCTGTTGTGATGGTAGTTTGTCTATTGAAAGGTTTTTATATTAAATATGTTTGGTTGGTCTAAAAATAAAAAGCACTTCATCTAGACTGTTTCTGCTTTTGTCTTGGGTAGACTGAGGCAGTTTTGTCCATCTCGCCTCATGACCGGGCAGCCTCCTTCCCCAGCCAGTAGGTTGACTGCTCCTTGTCCGCTTGCTCAGCTTCTTACTCTAGTCTTGCTTGTTACAGTTGTATTCCAGACTGAGGTCCAGGGAGGGGTTTTTCTTTGTCAAAACTTAAGCAACCCAGCTGTTCTGTAGATAGAGCATACATAACCAGTGATTTTTCAGACTTTGACCTTGACCCACAGAAATTAGTTAACATTGTGCTCCAAGGATACACACAGCAACACTTTTAGTAAATTTTACTTAGCCTTACTTTGTAACTCCACAGCCCCAGGTGGAGTGGTTTGGCTGATGAGCCATTTCCCCACAATTCACAGAAAAGCATAGACTCTTCCCTCCCTGAGACTGTGGTGGACTTAGGAACATAGGTCCAGACAGCTGCTGGGTGGGGTGCAGGTTGTATACAAGTCCAGAGGCAGAGCAGTGAATTGGCTTGTAGACCTCAGACGAGCTAGCCTGCCCAAGCCAAGGAGAGCTGGCTCATCCAGTCTCCTGCCCATCGTGTCACTTCCTGTTTGGGCCTTCCTCTACTTCAGTGGTTCTCAGCTGGGGGCAGTTTTGCCCCGCAGGGCACATTCAACAATGTCTAGAGATAGTTTTAGTTGTCACAACTGCCAGAAGAGAGGGAAGTTCTACTGGCGTGCCGTTGGTAGAGGGACTGGAGCTGCTGCTAAACACCCTATAGTGCACGAGACAGCCCCCCCCCACCTCCACCCCAGCGTAGGATGATCTGGCCCTGAATGTCAGACATGTGGCAATGGGAAACTGACCGTCCTCAGGCTGTATTTAAAGGGCACCCTGAAAACAGGGCTTATCTTGCACTTCTGCTCCAGGAGAAGAGGTTCCTTTTGCATTGCCCAGACAGAGGGAGTCCTCAGTCTGGCTGTGCCCCAGCTTCCTCATCTGTAAAACGGGAGCGATGAGACTAGTACCTACATGACAGGAGTGTGGTACGAAGTAATGTATTTAGCAAGTGCCAGCTCTTACTGCTGGCATGAGCCCAGCGTGGGCACCCAGCAAAGGGATGGCTACTGAGCGCCCCCCTCCCGGAGCTCAGCATCCTCCTGAAGCTCGGGCTGTAGCTGAGGGAGACCCAGGACGACCCCGGCATGGACCCTGGGCCTGCTGCTGCTGTCCTGCGCCAGGCCTCATGAATGACGACGGCTGGCGGCCCGGAGACCTATGACCCGCGGCGCTCGCCGCGCCCCTCCCCCGCTGGCAGGTGGACAGCGGCTGCGCCGGGGTTGGGGTGGGGGGGCCGCGGCGCCAACCTTGGCTGGCCGGCAGCCGCTGCAGCACTGAGCGGGGGCGGGGGACTGCGGCGCGCACGGACCCGGGCGAGCGCCCGCCTGGACCGCCTTCTGGGCCTCGGAGCTCGGCGCCGCCGCCCGCCAGCCTCCGCCGCCCCGCCGGGCGGGCCCGGGCCGCGGACTGCACCTCCGCCCCGCCCTCTCACCCCCGGATTGACACCGAACGTTCTGCCGGGGGCTTGCCGGACAGCGCGCCTCCGCCAATTGGCGGCCTCCCTGGGCGGACCCCAGGCCCTGTCGCGAGCCTCGGCCAATCAGACGCGTAGGCCCGCCCAGCTGGGGCCTCGCAAGCGCGCGAGTGGCCAGGCGTCCTAGGGGAGAGTCATGGGGCCGAGAGCCTATGGCAGCACGGGAGGGTCACGGAGAACCAATGGGCGGCGGCGCAGCACCGTCAGTCAGGGCGGCCTAGGCCAATGAGCTGCGGGCTGCGGGGGCGTCACGGACAGCAGCAGCGGACTTGGGCTGAGGTTCCCGGGCGGGCGGGCGCGGAGAGACGCGGGAAGCAGGGGCTGGGCGGGGGTCGCGGCGCCGCAGCCAGCGCAGCCAACCCGAGGGGCCGCCGCCGCCGCCGCCCAGCGCGCTCCGGGGCCGCGGGCCGCCTCCAGCACCCGCCGCGCCGCAGCTCCGGGACCGGCCCCGGCCGCCGCCGCCGCGATGGGCAACGCCGCCGCGGCCAAGAAGGGCAGCGAGCAAGAGAGCGGTGAGTGCCCGGGCCGTGACCCCGATCCCGGCCCCGCGCTGCCAGCCCCCTCCCTATCCATCACTGCCTGGCCCCTCCCCCTACGCGCCCCCCCATTTCTCTCTGCTTACCCCTCAGCGCCCCTTCCCCTGCCTGTCCAAGGTTGGGGCCCAAGGCCCGCAGATGGCCCGTAGGAGCCCCCTTGCCAAAGACCGCCCCCCACTGCAAAGACTGTGCTCCCCCCCAGCTGTCACTGCCAACCATGGTACGTATGACCGCTGGGGCCCCACATGGGGCCCTGTCACCACCCCACTGTCTCCTCTCCTGGTCCCTCTCCCCAGATTCTAATCCCTCCACTTCCTCACTCACCTCTTACACAGATGCGACCCACTGCCAAACCCCGACCCAGGCCTCTGCCAGTCTGGGAGTGCTATGGGGTATGCCTCCACCCCGCAGGGACCTTGGCCACTTGGTGACCACACCCCTACCCCCCTCCAGCCCCCGCCATCTTTCTCCTGCCCTTCCCCTCTTCACCTTATCACAGCCCCCCTCCAAACCCACTCCGTCCCCTTTGAGCACTTCCCAGAGCCACCTCCAGCATTGTTTTTCTCTTCTGTGTCACTTGGCATGGGGGACAGGATCTTTCTGGGTCCCTCTGCCCCTCTCTCTCACTCTGTCGCTCTGCTTCTCTGCTGTGCCTCCTCCTCTAAGCAAGCGTCTGTCCCTGGCTGGGGTAGCAGACTGTTTATGAACCTAGAGAACTACTTCTGTGCTTCAAAAGCCAAGTTTGAGCCGATCTTGCTGGAATTCATTGCATCCTCTTTCCGGGGTTGGGGCGGGGGGAGGGTGGTGTCAGCAGAGAGCCCCTTCCCATCTCCTGCTGTTCCGTGAGCTCTAGGCTCCTTGGAGGGCCCTTCAATAAATGGTTGTTTCACAACTGAGGCTCTGTCATTCACCCAGTCCCCCAGGCTTCTTCACCCGCTCCTGGCTTGGGATGAAAAGTAGAGGATGAAGAGGGTCTGGGTTTAGCAAGGCTCATTCAGCTTGAGCTGGGATGGTGAGAAGGAGGTATCAAGGGATGGCAGTTGGGAAGAGAAGTGGTTGACATCTAATGACTTGCTTTGCCAAGAGACAAACAGATTCTGATCATTCCCAGCGTTCAGCCAGAGAAGGGACTATTTCCCCCTCAGCTCCCAAATATATTGGCCTTTTCCAGCCAGCCGGGGAAAGAGATTCTTTATCTGGAAATGCCTTCAGAAATGGTCTCCAGCCCCATCCTCAAGTCCTTCAGCTCTTAAATTGTCATCACTCCAGGCCTAAAGCTGGACCTCAGCTAGGATCCCCTTCCAGTTACCCAGAAATAGAGTTGAAAAGGAATGGCCACATCCAGATATGCTCTTCCCAGTTACTGGTCTCAAACCCCAGTGTCTGAGTTCCCTGAATGCTCCCTCCCGAAAGACCCAGGCATGAAAGCCAGGGAACTTTATTCCCACCCAGACTCAAATGGCAGAACTCAGAGTCACTGAGCAACCATGGAGAGGCCTGACATGTCACCGATGGGTGGGGGACGGGAAGGCAAGTGCCTGTAGCTGAGAGCTTGATGACAGAGGAGCAGGTGGGTAGTGACCAAAAAAGGTCTGGGCATGAGCTTGGAGGGGACTAGGCAGAGGGGGAGGGGCCGGGCCCCCAGCAGGTGAGACCGGCTGAGAGGTGGAAGGTGGAGGCAGGCAGCTGTACATTGCAGTGGCTCAGTTGAAAGTTGGGGAGATGACATAGTCCTGGAAAACTTTCAAGGCGTATCAAACACATGCAGTGGGGAGTGGGGGTGGAAAGCCACACAAGGAAAAGGAGCCCTAAGAAAAAGATCAGAGGCCTCGGAAGGAACCACTGATTCAGAGCACAGTCCGGACACCCAGGAATGGACTATCAAGGTGAAATAGAGCCACTGTTTATTGGGCATCTAGGATGTGCCAGGCTAAATGGTCTCCACAGATCTATCTGCTCGAGTGATTTTTCATAGCGGGCTGTTATCTGAATTTTCCAAACAAGCTCTCTGAGTTTGACATAGATGATGCCACAGAGGCAGGATTCACATCCAGATCCACCTACCAGACAACTTCCTGGACCCCAGAGTTTCCCAACTCAAACATTCTCAAGCCGCCTCCCTGATTTTTACTATATTCACTTCTATTTTGTTAACTTAAATAAAAATTTTGACTCACTTTTGTTCAGATGTAAATTTTGATCTGTCCTAAGCAATATTATAAATGAAATCACGGGATTGCTGTGCCAGTGATATTCTCCCTGATATGCATTAAAATACAATGTAACTAGAAAAGTGAAACATCCCTAAAATCGTTTCATGCCCCGCCAGTGGGACCTATGTCACACTTTGGGAAAGGCCCTAAGCTGTACTCCCTTCCAGAGGCTTGCAGGGGCTCTCAGAGAAGGAAATAGGATGAGGAAGGGAGCCCCTCTTCACTTCAAATCTCCAATTCTGAGAGGATGGAGTTAAGACAAAATTTGCCTTCTCGTAACTAGGGTCGGCTGGGGGTGGGGTAGTAGTAGCCAGGCCAGCCTGCAGGGGGCACCTGAATTTCATCTGCCAGATGTCAGCCCTACTGAAGTAAGGAAGATGACCGAACCTTAGTAGGCACCAGTTCAGCATCCCGCAGCCCCCTATACTACCGGCTCCATGCCGGGGCAGGACAGCATTGGCTTCCTCCCAAGAGGGTAGGGATCCAGAATGAGCCCTGGGGTGGGGTGAGGGAAATCTGTACCCAAAGTTGCCAGAGCCATTGGCAGGGGCCTGGGTAAGATGCTAAGAGGGCAGAGAAAAACAAGATCAAGCCCTGGGCCCTGAGCAACCTGGAGGAATTGAGAGAGGGCAGTGGCCTCAAGAGGCCCTGGGACAGGCGGCCAAGTGGGGCTCAGGCCTTGGCTGCCCTGACCAAAGGCACCCCTGAGAGCTGGTCCATGGGAGAAGGGACAGGTCTGGTGAGAAGGAGCCCTCCAGATACCATCACCCCCCCCCTCCCAGTTCCCAGGGACAAGCAGATCCAGGCTCCGGGAGTGAGAACTGCCCCCCAAGAGGTCCCTAAATGGGAAGAATTGTGGCCCTCTAACTACTACAGAAGTCCGAGAGGGCCAAACACTGTCTGTGCGTTGGCAGTTGTATGGGTGCCCAAGAGGGTCCTGTCAAGGCAGCTCTTCCTTTAGCCCAGCCAGGCTTACAGAAGCTTGAGGGTCCTCTCTGCCCCTTCCCTGCACCCACTGGCCCCAGGTTGGGTTTCTTTTCCTGACACCACCCCGCAACTCCCTGGCTCCCCTTATAGGCAGGGCTCTGGGGATGGGCAGCCAAGCTGGTGCAGCAGGTCTCATGAGCCTTCCCAGCCACCATAGTCCTGGTGCCCTGAGAGGAAGACTTGAGTGATGGCTTCCAACCCCAGCGATGGTGAGGCTGAGCCCTGTTGCTATAGCAACTTACCAGGCACTCTCTGACACTCAAGTCAGGGAAGGACTGCAGTAGAGTTTAGGGAACAGGTGAAGAGGAAAAGTCTGTGGACCCCTGGCTGGCCCTAGAAACCCTCCCTTACTAACAACCCTGAGCCGGGGGGCCTGGGGAAGAGCAGGCGAGATGGGTGGTTCAGTTCAGACACGGAGGGGATGGTCACCCAGAGCGGGGGTCCAGCTCAGAGCCAGGCAATGGGGTAGTCCAGCTCAGTGTTGAGGTTCAGCTCAGATTGGGGGTTGGTCCAGCTCAGTGATGGAGTCCACGTCATAATGGACAGTGGCCCAGTATAGAATGAGGGTCCATCAGACTGCGGGTCGGTCCAGTCCAGTGTTGGGGTCCAGCTCAGGCTGGGGGATGGTCCAGTCCAGGGCTTGGTTTTCCGGCCCCAGAATTTCCGGGACAACCAGGTTTCGGGGAGCAGCAGGTCCTGAGATTGTTGTCTGGGGGGGGTCTGAGGCTGGGCTCCTGCCTCGTGATGGGGCCCTGGCTTTTTGAGGGATGCTCTCTCTGTGAGCTCCAATTGAATCCAGACCACGGTGGAGGCTGGCATCCCTCCTGTGGGAGACATGGGCCGGCTGACAAGCTCTAAAGACAGCAGCCAGCTGGGTTTCCCTTCTCTGCCACTTCCTGTTGTCAGCAGGGGCCATGGGTGCCAGGCACTCTCAGGAGAAGCTGCCACTGACCCTCCACTTCTTCTGGGATCTGGAAAGAAGGAGGAAGATGGTCAAGGCTGCCTCCCCCTCCCCCACCCCGGGGTTTAGCGTTTCGTTTCCGGTTTGGACTTGCATGGCTGAGAGCAGAGCCAAGCACAGGGCAAGGTTTGATAGAGGCCAAGGACATCCCAGGATGCCATTCCCCTCTCCGCCCCTGCATAGAAGCAAGACAAAGTCAGATGTACCCATTTCTTTCTCAAAGTAGCAGAATTTGGGGGCTCCAGGTTCAGAGAGCACTTGGGGCAGGAGATAGGGTAGCTCTCACTGCCCGCCCCCCCCCCCCCCCCCCCCCCCCGCCCACTCCCGCCTTTCTCTCCAGCTGCTCTTTCGGCTAATTAACGGAGCTCTGGGGCCTCTTTGGCCCCCAGGGAGGCCCCAGCTGCTGCCTGGGCCTGAGCCTTAACTCCTTCCCCTCTGCCCAGTGGGCACTGCCCTGGGCACATTGGGTGTCATCCTCAGGGTAGTCCAGCACCCACTGAGAAAGGCAGGGCCTGGCAGCCCGGGAGCAGTGTAGCCCCTGGAATGGGAAGTTAGCTTTAGCACCCCACCCCCAGGGCAGGCAGGCCAGCCTGAGGAGGGACACCCTCAGGACAATCTTCCCACCACCTCCTGCCAAGGAGGGGCCTTTACAAACCTTGGCCAGCGGGAGCAGGTACCTTTAAATGCTTCCCTGGCAACCAGCTCCTCCTCCCCTGTCCCCCGAGGCCTTCCCGAGGAAGCCAGCTCAGAGGCTCTGCGTATTCCTGGTTTCCCTGCAAAGGGAAGGTTCCAGGGAGAGCTTAGGGAGGCCTGGGATGGATCTGGGGTCAGGTAGAGGCTGGGATGGGGACTCAGAGACCACCTTCCAGCTGTGGCTGCAGCTGCTTCTCTGGGGCCATGTGATTGTCCGTTTCCTGGGCTACCTGCGCTGCACCCTCTGGGCACCTAAGCAGAGCCTCGCTGGCCAGGGGTAGATGGGCCCCAGATCACCCCATCCCACTCTACCCCCCATTTTGCCCTCTGCTGGAAGAGACAGAAAGCAGAGGTGAGTATGGGGGCTCCTGGCTGGGGTTCCCCCCATCATTATCCCTCTTTATCTGCCCACTCTTTCTGGTACTGCCACACCCTGTGCCCCATCCCCAAATCTGGCAAGCTGATGGCACCAGAGAGCACACAGCCTGGGCCCTTCAGCATTTCGAAAGGCCAGAACAGGGCTGTGTCAGAATCAAGGCACCGTGTGGAGCCTCTTAGTGGGGTACCAGCAGACAGACAGACCCACCAAGTTGGGAAAAACAGGACATGGCAGTTCTCAGGGATTTTGCTGAGAGCAAAAGAGGAGGCAGGACCAGGCTTTCTCCTGGATTCCTCTTAAACTCGCTCCTCTCTGCCTTTCTGGGTGAGTGACGGTAGAAACCCAAGAGGGTGCCTTCACCCCCACCTTCATCCAGAATTCAGTGTGTACGTTTGGAGGTTTCCAAGGAATGTGTTGTGTGTCAAGAAAGATTCTGCCAGAGAAAGCATTGGATGTGGTGCAGCCCCCAGGCTCAGGGAGGCCTCAGACAGTTGGTGGCTCAGCCAGGCACCAGCCTAGGACTCTTGGCCATTCCCTGACCACCCCCTCTCCGCCTGGTCATTCTTTGTAGGGCTTTCCTAGCCCACAGTCTCTCCTCCATCTGCCACGCTTGCAGCTCCACGGAAGGCTCTTCTCTGCAGGTGCTGAGGGAGAGCCTTGCAGGTGATGGGGGGCAGGGGGGGTGGCTACCCACAAGGCTGTGGGGATTCCTGGCACTGCATATGGGTGAGATAGGCAGATATCTGACAGGCAAGGCCAAAGTACCAGTGTGCAGGACCCCTCAGGGTGGCATCCGTCCCAGGAACATCAGGGTTGAGGACAGCTCTGTCCATGGGCCATCCTGGTGCCCTGCAACCAGTCAGAAGCAAAGCAGTTAACCCCGTGGGCAGTGGGGTCCGGGAAGTGATCTGAGACCAGTCTTCTCATGGGTACAATGAGAGTAATAGCAGCTCTGAGCCATCAGTGTAGGAATTAAGCATGGAAAGCACCCAGCACAGAGCTGGCACACAGGGAGGGTCCCTGAACAACAGCGCGCCTAACCCCAGGGGGCGGTTACAAGGACACATCCATACCGTAAGAATCCATCAGGTTGAGCATTTAAGATTTGAGCACTCAGTGCTCCTCCTGTATTTCATACCTCCATTTTAAAAACTACTTAAAAGCAAAATTAATAGCTGACATTTATATGGCACTAACCCCTGTAACCGGCCACCGTCCAAACCCCCTTTGCCAAGATTAACTCATTCGGTCTTCACAACCACCCCACCAGGTCATTACTATTATTATCCCCATTTTACAGATGAGGAAAACCAAGGCCCAGAGGTGCGATCAGTTGCCTAAGGTCACATAGCTCATCAGGGACCAGGCTGGGATCTGAACTTGCTCTTATCCCAGAGTCCTGGCCCTTAACTGTTTTGCCGGGCTGCCTCTCCACATGGGCAGGAATGCCTGTTTTCAGGCCTCAGTTTCCTAGGGTGGTAAACAGAATGGTTAAAATGAAAGTTGACAAGTGAACCAAATGAGATAGTGGACGCAAAGCAGCAAGCCCAGGGTCCGCCAGGAAGTCTTCAATGTTAGCCAGATGGTGATGTTCACCTTGGGGTGCTGAAGGGCCTGTAGGGGGCAGGCATCAGGCGAGGCTTCCCTTGAGCGAGCTCTGGAACGAGGGCCCCTCCATTGGCAAAGGTGGGAATGGAGCCAGCCGGGGGCCAAGGCAACAGCTGAACCCCCCAAGGGCGCCTGCTACCCGAGCCCCAGAGGCCTCCACCCTGGGCCGGCCTCCCCAGAGAAGGGGCCAGAGGAACAGCCAAATCCCGAGGCTATAAATACCTCGGCTGGCGTCGTCCCCTGGCCCTGGAATGTCAGAACTGGGGCGAGTGGGGGTGGGCTGGCCTGGGCACCGCTCTCTGTCCCCCTGAGAGTGACCCCCGAATTGCCCTGTCCCCCATTTGGGACAGAATTGAGGCTGGACCCCACCTCTCTGTAGTAAAGGAGACCCCAGACCCCAGCCCAGATCAGGGCCCCCCCACCAGGCTACCCTCAGACTCAGCCAGGACACCCGAAGGCACTGGGAGAAGGTCAGGCTCTGGATTGAGACGACTGCACCCCACTTTCCACAAACCGGCCTCTCCCCAGGAATAGCCCAGGCCCACGCCAACAAGATGGGGTCTCCATCTCACTCTCTCCTCTTTTCCTTTCAGTGAAAGAATTCTTAGCCAAAGCCAAAGAAGATTTTCTTAAAAAATGGGAAAATCCCGCTCAGGTAAGCCCCCTGGGTACAGAGCCCTGGGAGGGATAGCTGACAGCCCCCTGCCCCTCAACTGCATCCCTATGCCATGGCTAGGATTTTACGGCCCTGTGGAGGGCTCCAGACCTGCCCTCATTCTCTCCCTAGATGCCCATGGGGGCACCTGGTCACTCACTGCCAGGTTCCCCCACCCCACCAATCCCGTCCAACTGGCAGCCCCTGCCCCCCAGGCAGCTGCCAGCAGCTCCTGGGCCCCAGGCCAGGGCCGGATCCGGCCCCTGCCACCAGCCTTGAGGAATGTACCCTCCGCCATCTTGTTTTTCCACCCCCTGTCCTCACCCCCCTAGCTCCACCTGGTCCCCAGGGCCCCCTCTGCTGGTTGCAGAGGGAACACCCCAAACTTTGGCCTAGCAGGCTAGACGGGGTGGGGGTGGGGGGTGGTCCCTGACCCTCCAGACCCTTGTGCCCACAGAATACAGCCCATCTGGATCAGTTTGAACGAATCAAGACCCTCGGCACGGGCTCCTTCGGGCGGGTGATGCTGGTGAAGCACAAGGAGACCGGGAACCACTTTGCCATGAAGATCCTCGACAAACAGAAGGTGAGCCCAGCCCTGCCACAAGGCCCTGGTCCCAGCCCCCAGGGCTTTGCCTGGGCTGTTCCCACCACCTGGAGTGGTCTTCCCACCTATCCACTCACCAGCTATTTCCTGAGCCTCCATAATGTGCCAGACCCAGGGGCGGGAAGGGTACCATGCTGCCTTCAGGAAGCTTTCCCCAGGAGGAAAAGTACCCTAAGACGTAAAGCCCACACGGGCTCAGACACCTAGCCTGTATCGAGGAAGCCAGAAGTCTTCCTGGGGGAAGTGATGTTTACACAGACCTTCCTTCTGTAAATACTTTGTTTCTGAATTTTATTTTATTTTTTTATACAGCAGGTTCTTATTAGTTATCCATTTTATACATATTAGTGTATATATGTCAATCCCAATCTCCCAATTCATCACACCACCCCCTGCCCTTTGTAAATTTTTTTTTTTTTTTTTTTTTTTTTCGGGTCCCGGGCCTCTCCCCCCTGGGGCCCCTCCCATTGCGGAGCACAGGCCCCGGACGCACAGGCCCAGCGGCCATGGCCCACGGGCCCAGCCGCTCCGCGGCATGTGGGATCCTCCCAGACCGGGGCACGAACCCGTATCCCCCGCATCGGCAGGCGGACTCCCAACCACTGCGCCACCAGGGAAGCCCCTGTAAATATTTTTGAAACCCTACTTTTTGCCAGGCGATGCTCTAGAGCAGCACCATCCAGGAGACATATCACACAAGCCACATATGGTTTTAAATTTTCTAGAATCCTCATTTTATTTATTTTTATTTATTTGGTAGCACTGCGTGGCTTGCAGGATCTTAGTTCCCGAACCAGGCATCGAACCCTCGGCCCTCGGCAGTGAGAGCACGGAGTCCTAACCACTGAACCACCAGGGAATTCCCTAGAATCCTAGTTTTAAAAGTTTAAAAAAGGCAGAATTCATTTTAACAATATGTTGTAATTAAGCCAGTATATCTACAATATTATCATTTAAACGTATGTATCCAGTGTAGAAATATCCTTAATGAGACATTTTACATTCTTCTTTTCCGTACTAAGTCTTAGAAATCCAGCGTGCATTTTACACATATAACACATCTCCATTCAGATGTTAATTTTCACTGGAAAGACAAGAAAAAGTAGAGAAATTGAGAAAGCAGATTCACATAGCCCAGGTTGTTCCAAACAGGCTTGAAAGTTGTCTGGTAACTGTGCCAAGTATCAGTTTTTAAATTTTCTTTTTTTTTAAATTTCTTTATTTCTTTCTTTATTTTTGGCTGAGTTGGGTCTTCGTTGCTGTGCATGGACTTCTCTAGTTGCAGCGAGCAGGGGGTACTCTTCTTTGCGGTGCACAGGCTCTAGGCGCGAGGGCTTCAGTAGTTGTGGCACATGGGCTCAGTAGTTGTGGCTCACAGGCTCTAGAGTGCAGGCTCAGTAGTTGTGGCACACGGGCTTAGTTGCTCCACAGCATGTGGGATCTTCCCAGACCAGGGCTCAAACCCGTGTCCCCTGCATTGGCAAGTGGATTCTTAACCACTGTGCTGCCAGGGAAGTCCCTAAATTTTCATTTTACATGTATATATATATATATATATATATATATTTTTTTTTTTTTCTTTCTTTTTGTCTGCCTTGGGTCTTCGTTGCTGAGCGCGGGCTTTCTCTAGTTGCAGAGAGCAGGGGCTACTCTTTGTTGCAGTGCACAAGCTTCTCAGTGCAGTGGCTTCTCTTTGTTGCGGAGCACGGGCTCTAGGCGCCAGGGCTTCAGTAGTTGTGGCGTGCGGGCTCAGTAGTTGTGGCGCACGGGCTTAGTTGCTCCGCGGCATGTGGGATCTTCCCAGACCAGGGCTCAAACCCGTGTCCCCTGCGTTGGCAGGTGGATTCTTAACCACTACGCCACCAGGGAAGCCCTAAATTTTCATTTTAGATACTTCAAATTTTAAGCTTGGTTCCCCAGTCAACGAACCATATTTCAAGTACTCAGCAACCGTACGTGGCTAGTGTGGAATCTACTGGACAGTGCAGGTATAGACCCAAAGGATGTAGCTGTGAGCAAAGCAGAAAAAGCCCCAGTGCAGTGGGGCTTAGAGCTGACCAAGGGGCCAGGCTGCCTGCGTGTGACAAGCTGGACTGATGTTGACTAGCTGCATGTGAACTTGGGCACGGCACTTCCCCTCTCTGCGTCTGGGCTTCCAAACTTGCATGCTCCCATTGCATACCCCTCAGGGCTCCTGTCAGAGAGTGTGAGACGGCTGCTGGGGACAGCTGAGGGCTGAGGAGGAATTAGCCCTGGGTTCAAGTGGATGTGGGGGGCGGGGTGTCCTCTAGATGCAGGGAAGGTATTTCGAAATCCCCCACCCCCTGGGTGCTACTCCCACCTGTCTGTTTGGTTTCAACTCAGCTGCCCCTTCCTCCAGGAAGCCTTCTCTGACTCCCCAGGCTTCACCGGATGCCTTATCTGGGCATCCACAGGCCCCAAGCTTCCCCCACCACAGCTCTGACCCCTGTGGCCTGGTGACTCATGTGTTCCTGCCCTGAACTGCATGCCATGTGGGGACAGGCACCCAGCCCAGGGCTTGACAGGCCCCAGGCACTCAAACGATTCTGGATGGAGGACCCAGCCCGGCCCTGGCACATCTACTTTTGGGTGGCAGGGAAGAAAAGAGCTCTCTCACACCCACTCCTCGCTCCTCTCCCCTCCCACCCCTGCAGGTGGTAAAGCTGAAGCAGATCGAGCACACCCTGAACGAAAAGCGCATCCTGCAAGCGGTCAACTTTCCGTTCCTTGTCAAACTCGAGTTCTCGTTCAAGGTGGGGTCCCAGCGGCCGCAGACCAGGGCCACTGCCAGGTGGTGCAGCCTCTGGGTTCCCAGAGCTGGGGCTCAGCCAACCACAACCAGTGGTTGCCCGAAAAGGCAGACCCACTGATGGGGGAGCGGTGAAGAAGGCCCCCGGGGGTGGAGGGCAAGTCAGCCTGGGGCTCTCATAGACCCCAAGTTCAGCTGGGCCTGCCAACTTATAGCTTGATAACCTTGGGCAAGTCCCCCAACCTGGATAACATCCCTCAAAATCATCGATCCATTTACAGCAAGAACCTGACACACAGCCACAAACTGCCGCTCAGCCTGGGTTCAAATCCCAGCCTTGCACTTCCTGGCGGTGTGACCCTGGCAAGAAACTTCACCCCCATGAGCCTTAGTTTCTTCATCTGCAAAATGGGGATCATCACGGTGGGGCTGCCATGACAGTTCCAACCACATCATGAGCACCCTGCGTGAGCTGTTTTGGGTGCCGTCCTAAGCCATGACTGTGAGAGTTGGGAAAGGCCCCTCGGGGCCTGTGACCCTAGCAGCCACAAGGACCCCATGCTTTGTTTAAGGCTCTGTTGCCACCATCTTGAAATTCATAATCATTTTTTTAACAAGGGGCCTCACTTTTATTTTGAGGGGGGACACAAAATCTGTAGCCCATCCTGGTCCCATGTGACAGATGACAAAACTGTGGCCCCAAGAGCCTTGCTCAAGACAGTCACAGACAGGAGCCACCACAGAGTTCTCTCTGCAGCTCAGGCATGCCAGCCAGGTCCCTGATGTATCTCTAGCCAGCCCTCGCTTTTGGCCCCCGTAAGCAGGATCATGGCTGCCCCTTCTTTCTCACGGGCAGAATGAAATGAGACAGGTAATCAGTGAGCACAGTGCCTGGCGCTTGGAACGTGCTTCACGTGGGAACCAAAATTGTTGTTGTCGCTTTATGTCTGACACCTGCCTTCAGGTGGGGCCTGGGGCTTGGGGAGTGGGGCCCTGATGAGCTGCTGCTTCCCACAGGACAACTCAAATTTATACATGATCATGGAGTACGTGCCTGGTGGGGAGATGTTCTCACACCTGCGGCGGATCGGGAGGTTCAGGTGAGCCCGACGCCCCCTGCCACCCTGGGCCTGGGGTGTGCATGGGTGTCGTCCGTGGAAGTGGCCTCTTCAGGTCCCTGTGGGTCCTTGTTCCCCCGAGCTGAGGAATCTACGATGTCTCAGCCACCACGAAACAAAACAGACACGGTGACTTAGGCGTCACCATGTAAGTGGGCAATTTCATGTCGTTTTAAAATTTGGGCTATCTTATCTATATAGATATGCACTTTACATACAATAAAGTGCACAGGTTTTCAATACCCTGTTCCATGAGTTTTGACAGCTGCATTCACATGTGTAACCACCACCCCAGAAAATTCCTTCAAATGCCTTTCTTGGCAAATCACCACCCCAACAAAGGCAAACGTCCTTTATGGTTTCAAACACCACAAATGTGTTTGGTCTGGGTCTGGACTTGATATAAATGGAATCACACAGTTCATATTCTTCTGTCCCTTTCTTCTCTTGCTTCACATAATCGTTTTGTGATCCAGCCACATTGTTGGGTATATTCATCGTTTGTCCTGGTGGTGGTGTTGGGTAGGATCCCATTATAGGAATCTGTCACAATCTGTGATTCCATTCCTCTGTTGATGGACATTTGGGCTCTTTCCAGTTTGGGGCTGTATATGAATAAGGCTTCTCTGCTGATGCATTTTGATCGCTGGGCTGGAGGCAGCTCGATAGGCCCACCTGCTGGACCGTTAGGGGGTGGGCAGGTCCTGCTGGTGTGGCCACCCACTCTCACCCATCCTTTCCCTGCTTGTCCCCATCAGTGAGCCCCATGCCCGCTTCTACGCAGCCCAGATTGTCCTGACCTTTGAGTACCTGCACTCGCTCGATCTCATCTACCGGGACCTGAAGCCGGAGAACCTCCTTATCGACCAGCAGGGCTACATTCAGGTGCCCACTGGGCTGGGCGAGGGGCAGCCCCAGGTGGCCACAGCCTGAACCCTCCCACCCTCCCGGCCAACCGCCCATTCTTGTGCCCACAGGTGACAGACTTCGGTTTCGCCAAGCGTGTGAAAGGCCGCACCTGGACCTTGTGCGGCACCCCCGAGTACCTGGCCCCCGAGATCATCCTGAGTAAAGTAGGCGCTTCCCTACCCCTCCCACCGCTCTGAGGCCTGCTCCACTGCCGGCGGCCCCCTCCTCACCCTTCTCCCCTCACCTGCTCCCCTCCTCTCGCTCCAGGGCTACAACAAAGCTGTGGACTGGTGGGCCCTGGGCGTTCTCATCTATGAGATGGCCGCTGGCTACCCGCCCTTCTTCGCTGACCAGCCCATCCAGATCTATGAGAAGATTGTCTCTGGGAAGGTGAGGCCCGGATATGGGGGCTCAGGCCTAAGCCTGACCCTTCCCTGCCTGTCCTGCTCACTGTGGAGCCCTGATCGTCATTGTCAGAACAGCCTAGGGAATTCCCTGGCGGTCCAGTGGTTCGGACTCTGAGCTTGCTTCCACTGCAGGGGGCACAGGTTCGATCCCTAGCTGGGGAACTAAGATCCCGAGTGCTGTGTGGGGCGGCCAAAGAAAAACAGAAAAAGAACAATCGAGAAGTTGATCAAGTCAGGCCGGGTGGTGAAGCCAGACACACCCACTGCGCTAACTGAGGCCACCACTTCACACAACCTCGCTGTCTGATTCTGGACCACAGTGCCGAAATCCTAAGGGTTTTCAAAACCCCAGGTCTCACCCAAACTCCTGCCCTGCCTGCCGGGAGGCTGGTCTCGTCTCTAGTCGGCCCCGTTAGCATGAATTTTCACACGTTTCACAGCAAAAAAGCAAGCATGTTCAGTTCCCAGGCGCTGCCCCAGACCCCTCCGGGGAGTCACTTTGGACATAAGGCCCTGCCTCCTTTCCCAAATGCAGACTTTCTAACTTGCAGGGTGTGGGTAAGGGGTGGCGGAACCGTTAGAGCCCCGGAGTGCATTAAGTACCCGCTGCCCCATGCACCCCCTCGGTCGTACCCCACCACTCTGAGGGAGTGAGGAAGCCGAGGTGCAGAGATTGGACATGTCTGGTTCAAGATCACACGGCAGCATCGTCTCAAGAGAGGTTGGGGACCCCACCTCTGACTGCAGCTCACCCACCTCACCAGGAGGACCAACCATCCCTCCATCTGGCCCAGGAAATGGTGTGAGTGGCTCCCAGCTCAGCCTAGGTGGGCTGACCTGGCTCTAAGTCCCAGCTCTGCCACCCATCGGCTTTGAAACCTCAGGCCAATGTCTTCGCTTCTCTGAGTCTTATCCATCTCAGAACTGGGGAACTAGCCACTTGCCTCTCAGAGAGGTTGAGAGACTCACCACCTGCAAAGTGGGGTCACTAAAAAAGGGAAAGATGAGGTGTCTGCCACCAGGCAGAACAGAAATTGCCAAGAAAATGGCCCAGAGTGGGGGGAAAAAAAAAGAAAAAGCCATAGAAGTTTTCGAGGCGGGAGAGAAATGAGCGTGACTCCCTTCTTTGTAGCATTTCACAGTTCCCACGCACCCTCAGCGGGATTATCTCCCTCATGCAACCCTGGGATATCTGCCCCATGCCAGAGAGGCAGGCACAGGCCCAGAGAGGTTAAGGGCCGTGGCCAAGGTCACACAGCATGGAAGAGGCAGAGCAGTGCTGGAAGTCGGTTCTTGCAGCTCTAAATCCAGTGACTGCTTGCATACAAAGCTGTGGACTCAAAGCATTTGGGGAAAGTTTCTGGAAGAGTTGAACTGAGCCTTAGAGAATGGAAGAGCCTTAGCTATGCAGAGAGAGAAATAGACAAACAATTATTTCTCTCAGAAGCATGAATATTTTTGAAGTCCCCAGACCCTAGCAGAGCTGCCTTAGGAAGCAGTGGCTAAGAATGCAACTTCTGGAGTCCAGCAGACCCCAGATGGAACCAACTTGCCCTGCTCCTCTGAGTGATCTTGGGCAAGCTGTTTAATCCTTCCGAGCCTCAGTTTCCTTCTCTCAGGAAATAGAAATGGGAACCTCTGGAATTCCCCGGCAATCCAGTGGTTAGGACTCTGGACTTCCACTGCCGAGGTCCTGGGTTCAATCCCTGGTTGGGGAACTAAGATCCCACAAGCTGCATGGTGCCGACAGAAGAATAAAATGGGAACCTCATAGCTCTTACCTCTCCAGCAGCATCAGCATGGCTCAGGAAGTGGCTAGAAATACAGACTTTCAGGCCCCACCTGAATCAGATATCCTGAATCAGAAACTCCAGTGGGCCCAGCAAGCTGTTCTAACGGGATTCCGATGCACACTCTGGTTTGGGGTCCTCCGCCCAATAAGACAATTGGATGGTGAAGGCAGTGTTCTGGGCTCCCCAAGCTCCAGATCAGTTTCCCAATCTGTCTGTGTTACCCCCTCTCCAGGTGCGGTTCCCGTCCCACTTCAGCTCCGACCTGAAGGATCTGCTGCGGAACCTTCTGCAGGTGGACCTCACCAAACGCTTTGGGAACCTCAAGAACGGGGTCAATGACATCAAGAACCACAAGTGGTTTGCCACGACCGACTGGATCGCCATCTACCAAAGGAAGGTAGGCCCCCCCCTTCCCCTTGTGCTCTGAGGGTTTTGGAGGGGGGTGGGCAAGAGCCAGGGAGTATTGCCAATGGAGAGATGAAAAGGGAAGGGGAATTTGAAAGTAGGCTGCGGGCTCTGGGTCAGTTTAGATAAGGCAACTTAGAGCATTGGGGGTATAGAAACAGAATTGTGGGGTCATTTGGCCACTCTGTGACCTTGAACAGACTTCCCTCTCTGGAAATTAGTTTCCCTGTGGGTGAATTGGCTATAATAAGATTCTTGGGTTGTTAAGATGAGTCCATACCCTAATGCTAAGATCAGGCCTGGGTCAGAGTAAGTGATCTCATGAATGTTAGCCCATTCGCATTTATTGTTGTAACGATGATTATGTTGACTGCTGAGGTCTGAATGGCTCTTGACCCCTCTCCAGGTGGAAGCTCCCTTCATACCAAAGTTTAAAGGCCCTGGGGACACGAGTAACTTTGACGACTATGAGGAGGAAGAGATCCGAGTCTCCATCAATGAGAAGTGTGGCAAGGAGTTTTCTGAGTTTTAGGGGTGTGCCTGTGCCCCCATGGGTTTTCTTTCTTTGTTTCTTTTTTTTTTTTTTTTTTTTTTTTGTGGTGGGTGGGAGGGTTGGATTGAACAGCCAGAGGGCCCCAGAGTCCCTTGCATCTAATTTCACCCGCCCCCGCCCCACCCTCCAGGGT